CCTTCTATTGCCAATCACTAGCCACCAACGAAAGTCGCTACCGAAACAACACAAACAAAAATGGCCGTACGTGTTTGGGATAAATCTGACGAACGCTAAGATGCACGCAGCCCTACTCGCGCCACCAGACTTATGTTCTTAAGGCATGTCGTCAAGACGGCTGTGGGCAGGCTCGACCTCGGTGCCTCAAGCCTAAGGACTCTCTCCCTCTATGCAGACACTCACCGCCAGCTCGTGTTCGACGTGAACAAAATTGTTTACTGGGCGCATACGTGAGCATACCGATCAAAAATCGTGAAGATCTGGGTCCCTGACGACGTCGTTTCCTTTATAAACGGCAGTCCCGGCCCCCGCACCACACCCCCAGACATAGGTTTGGACAACACATTAGTTTTAGATCCCAACGTTCAGAAGAAAGCGGGCCAATGCCGTTTGTTGGCACATCTTTAAAGCATGTCCCGTCCTTTAATTCCATACCCCAACGTTCAGAAGAAAGCGGGCCAACGCCGTTTGTTGGTACATCTTTAAAGTATGTCCCGTCCTTTCTCGCGGCTATGTGCGAAACTATACCCTTGGTAGCGAAACATAAAGCGGTGGCTGAAAGCCGAGTGCGAGGCGACACATGCGGGCCGAACGCTAGGACGACGAATGCGAGGAATATTATGCACGTAGATGAGACGGTAGTAATAGCCTTATTGTTCGGAGAAAAGAAAATTTCGGCAACACGCTTTTATCGAAACGAATAGCAGAATTGAGTTCAAAGGTGCCTCCCTATGATCCTACTTGGTTTTTCAGGCTTTGTTTTGAAACAGCGAGCCAAACTTTTACGGAACACCAACAAGAGGCTTCAAAGCGCCCTCAATAAACCGCGGGACTAAGCTCTCCTTCTGGCAGACAATTAAAAATGCAATGCGTAGCTGAGTTTTAGCCAGTGTTTTATTCTGGCTTCTTGAGAGCTCCGGCTAGCATGTTCTGACGGCTGCTATTCGGTTCAAAATTATGCAAGTTGTTACGTGCATTTGCGAGGAGCATTACGCGCATAAATAATATAGCATGCCGCAGGACTAAGTACCTAATGTGCTGCAGCCGAACGACCATATAATGGTAAGTGAACCTGCATCGCAAGAGTCTGATGCATCATAATATATCTAGGTTTCATTCTCCAGGTTTTTCTCCAAGGAATAAGGCTGTTCCTTCCGTCTTATTTCACGTAAAAAAGTCACGAGTCTTTACATTTCGTGCGTTACGTCGCTGCCACGTACCAACCAAAACGTCACCGAACAACTGTAGAAGCATACATGATCGCCCAGACATGCTCCGAAATTCCGCAAAGTACTGCCACCTTTGGATGACACGGGGACAACAGCAGCATCAGCGTGTAATGCGTGTGTCATTGGGGCTTTACGACGCACTCAGTTGCTGAGGCTATATGGCGTCGCCTGCCTCTCACCCTGGCAGGAAGGGTGGGCACCGCGGGGAATCGAACCCCGTACCTCTGGTTTCCCAGGAGCGCAGTAGTTCACGCAGACGCGCTAACCACTTCACTACCGGCACCCCATCAGCGCGTACTGATGCGGATTGGAATCGACTCACCGCACTACAGCAAGACCACTAATAAAATATGCGTGGGGATGAGAAGAGTCAGCTGATGACCACGATCGACCAGTGTGCTTTTTGCACAAGCGTGACGAACCGCAATACACCAGACGAGACGATCATGTTAATTGCTGCCAGCGGTTTGCGGTTCCCTCCCCCTTCCTCCCTCCTCCGTCTGATTGGTCCCGAGTAAGGACCAGCGGTCTGTAGCCCAGCGAATCAAGCGCTCCGCCCTTCAGCGGTGAGGGTCTTCACTCGCAGTGGCATGTCACGGACACCGGCGCCGTCACGTTCGCATGCGGAATATCGCCATAATAGACGCCCCCCCCCCCCCCCCTCCTCCCCCCCCCCCCCACCACTACCACCAGTCGTCACCTGCGCACATTAGTCCAGGTTGTGCCCAAAACCATTTTCAATAAACTTTTGCACGCTAACGCAATTAGGAAAATAGACGGTACATCAGATGGTGCTAATAGTTGTCTGCAGCGATACCTAATCGACGAAAATTGCCTCTAAAGCTAACCAATATCGTGCCTTAAAAAACGGCGCTCAACGCCGCGACGCGCACCAGCTCAGCTGGCAGGGGCGAAGTTTCGCAAAACGAGGTGGGGGCGAGCAGCGGAAAATGACGCAGCCTTATCCAAAATACGCCAACGCACGGACCATCTTGGAATTAGACCTACTTTCTTCTTTAAGTTGGGGGGAGGGGACCACAGCCCAGCCTCGGGGAGCGGGGCTGAAGCCCCATCTGAATCGAAATTTATGCCTCACTTACGTCGGTGAAGCTGGACGCCCGGAAAACGCCGTTGCATCGCCAGCATAAGCTATTCATGAACTTCTCTAGTTAGCTGCCCATTAAAGCTACCACAAGAAAAATGACAGTAGCTGTTTTTAGTCTGCTTGATATAATGCATGTCAGCATGGTAAACTGATCGAAAACCTTACACCGGTAAGTGAAGAGCTACAAAACAGATCCATCAAGTCCCGCGGATATTTTTACGTTTAACGACACCCACGGTCCCTGAATGGCAGATTTGAACAGAATAATGACGCAAGCTTGCGCCAATTCCATACTTCCAGCGTGCTAGCGTCGTATAGAGGGCGCTGCGCCGACCCGCAGTCTACTGAACCGATTGTCAACCTGTCCGGGTACGTCGGGTGTCCAATCATTAGACGGCGGGGTGCTCACTTGATATGGCAGAATCCCGGTGACGAGGGAGCAGGTGAGCTGTGCGTCAGTGGGTGTCGTCAGTCCGTGGCCAGTCGTGGGTATAACATTGCGTACTTCTGGCAGCGGCGCCTCGAACGCGCGTCGACCGTGTCGATTTGCGAGCACGTGGGTGATAATAATTGCTGAAAGCTAGTAGTTACTAGCATTTGCTGATTCACCAATACGTTAAAATTGTGCGAGACATTCATTCCATGCATCATAATGAAAAGAGCATGCATCATTTTGAAACTTCTTCGAGCTTGTTCAACAAGTTTATTTCGTCACCAAGACCGCGGCTTAACGTTTTTGGATACAGAGGGAACCGTCGTTTTCCGGCCACCAACGGAGACAAACACAAAATAGCCACGCCGGGAAAATGGATGCTGAGGACGAGAGGTGAACGTTGGATATAACGGCTTCCCTGGTTGTCTCGTGTAACAATGAACACGCGGGGTGACGTCAGCCGAAATAACGTGACGTCGCATGTTGGTGTATAACTGGCAGCCCAACGGCACTAGGTACGATCCTCAGACGCGTCTTCCTCTGGCAACCCAACACGCCGGTCCGCTCGGTCGGCATTTCTGTGTTGTGGACTTACGATAGTCATGCCGCTTTATACTGCTGACTGAACCTGGCTGAACCTGACTGAACCTGGGCTGAATCCGTGAGTCTTCAGCGGACAGAGTCTTTGTCGGGAGCTGAGGTGCGTTCATATTTGAAGGCCCCTTGCAGCGCTGCAGATGCATAGCCTGGTGGGTGAGTCGCAAAGGGGACACCTCGCCATCGGCGTCCTGCCGCAGAGGTTGTACAAGCGAGGACCGAGGCATACCAGGAGCCGAGACACTACCTGGAGACAGCCTAAGGGCGCCTGACCAGAAGCGTATGCGTGAAATGCTTCCTTAAGCCTACATTAACAGTGCTCATGCTCATTCGCGGAGGGTGTAACGACAACTTCCTCCTTCAGCAGCGCTGTCTCAAGGCAGCGTTGCCGTATTTCTTCGTGGCAGGTCGCCACAAATATGTGCGCTAAATGAGCAGACGTGTGAGAAAAACGAAGCACCTTCATCAGCGTGCCAGAGAGGAGTCACTGACGGGCGGGTACACCTGGTGGCACTCGTACAGCAAGACCGCAGCGCCAGCAGGTCAGACGTTGGTTGACCTCGGTCAGCTGCTGTGCCGCGTCGTCAGGCCATTCCCTAGGACCGCAGGACGCCTGGCTGAAAGTTTGGAGACTTGACTGGCCCACTAGAGTGCTAGTGGCTGGCCCACAACGGGGGCGGCCGCCATCTCGAATTCCAAGAAATGCCCAAGGTTGCACAGATAGCGACCAAGCTAGTTTGGGTTTTCCTATAATACAGAAAACAATTCCGTGAAAAGGTTTGCAGTAGTCAACAATGCAGGGTCAACATTTTAGAAACTTGACGAAATGCAGATAATACCACTACAGGTCACCATTGTTGTAATCAGACATTTGGCTGAAACATACTATTTTGTCAACAAAGGTGTAACCTCTTCTAAATCAACCAAGGTCGCAGACTCCTGTTGCCCACGGATGACTTTCGAGATTGTGCCATATCTGGGTGGGAGTAAACGTAAGACGCTGATTCTAAGCTCCAGGTGCGTTTGGTAGTGTACTCTGCCCCGCTAGAACACTCAAAATGTAATTTCATTGAAAAAGGTGCATGCGAATCAGTATTCATATTGAATTAGCCAGCCGAACCAGATCTATTCGCAATTCGGAATGCCTGTTGCGTATAACATTGGGGTAGCAGCGACGGAAGTCCTTCCCAATTGGGGGATTGGGCTATTCGATTGATAAATGTGCACACTATGGCGGAAAACAAGCTAACAACTTTTACAACTTTCACCATGTTTGAGGCTTTCTTATCAAAAATGTACAACTGGTCGGGATAAATCGGACGTCACCTCGCTTATGGCAATCGGCCAAATGCTTCTCTTGGATACTCTCACTATAATGTCATAAGCTTTCGATCGATGCAATCCTACGTGGCAAAGGAATGTCCACATTTACTTGGCAACAGTGTGAAGCCGCGCCAGCCGGGGACGCCCTGTTCAGCGGCACCCACCCGGGGCGCTCTGTCCAGCGGCGCCAGCCGGGGGCGCCCTGTCCAGCGGCGCCAGCCAGGGGCGCCCTGTCCATCGATACCAGCCGGGGACGCCCTGTCCAGCGGCGCTAGCCCGGGGGTGCCCTGTCCAGCGGCGTCGGCCGCGGGTGTCTTGTCCAGCGGTGCCAGTCGGGGGCAACCTGGCCGGCAGTGCCGGTCGGGGGCGGGTGCCTGTCCAGCCCCGCCGTCACCTCGTTGGACGACTGACCGCACCTTAGCCGGCGGCGGCGCTCGGCGTCGGGCGAGCGGGCAGCCGTCTCTCGGGACCGCTGCCGCCGGCCGGCCACATGCGACAGCCAGACCGATGCGTCGCACGCGCCCCAGAGCCGACGCAATATCCGCCAGCTCTGCCGAGCCGCACCCATTTACCGGATGGGGCTGACACCTTGCATACATTACTGGGTGCAATAGCTGGACAGAGACTCGGCCATTTCAGTCGCCGGGCAGTCTGGTGGTAGGGGTAAACGATAGGCAGGGAGCGGGCGCCTGCCACCTCCGCAATGGCGTCTGTCAGCGTGGGATGACCGTCACGGAGCTCGCGGTGCTTGACCTTTGGGCTTTCAAGAAGCGTGAAATGTAACCCCGCACAATGCCGTGACTCGGCCCTGATGCAGCGGGGATTTAACAAGCTGCACGCTCCTTGCATCGTGACGCGTTTTCTGCTGACTGTCCACCCCGACCAGAGTCGTGTGGAGCCAGCCGGGTTAACAAGCGCGAGCCGGCCTTTCTGCGATGGAGATGTTTCTCCTCGCAGTGCGATCGGGCGCGAGGAAATCTCCCCGACCCAGCGTCGCGAGGCAACTCTCATCACTTAAGTACATGTTTTCAGTGCTTACGTAAGGACAGACGAGTCGAAACCCTCTTTGGCGGAGGCTGAAACGGCCCGAGCCACTGTTCGCGATGGGGACCATTCACACAGCGTCAAGCACAGGAGGAGGAAACCTAGACAAGTTTGCGTGCCAAACTGTCAAAACGAGCATACTTCAGTGGCCAAATGTGAAAAGTTCAAGCTGACCGCATTCCAAATTGTCGGCAATATGGCCCTGAGGGTCCCAGCAGTGACAGCCGTCTGGTGCCGGTGACGAGGCCGGCGCGGGGGACGGCGGTGCTGAGGGTCCCAGCAGTGGCATCCGTCTGGTGCCAGTGGCGAGGCCGGCGCGGGGGACGGCGGTGCTGAGGGTCCCAGCAGTGACAGCCGTCCGGTGCCGGTGACGAGGCCGGCGCGCCAAAAAAAAGCCAGCTGAGGCCACCTGGCGGTCCAGCCCAGTCCAGCCGGCCAGGTTCTCCGACCCCGCCTGACAGGCAGCAAACGTCGGCTCGCTGCCGAGCCCGAGCCAGCTCCCGGAGCGTGGATGACGAACTCCGTGTCATAACAGCGCCGCTGGCCGAGCGCCATTAATGACCACGTTCCAACTAACAGCCGTAATGGACGGTAGGCGGCCTCACGTTGGGTGAAGAAGTGACAGCGCATGTTCTTTGCCAGCATCTACGACGCAGTCGCTTGTTGCGACAGCAGTCTGATCAGGTCCAAAGCACCTTTGCTATTCTACCTGGCAAAAGCGTTGAGTACCGAGGAGGTGCCCAACAAGCAAACTGGCAGGCTTCGCTGTACCTGGCAAAGGCGCTGGGCACCGGGGAGGCAGTGAAACGGTGTAGAACACTTCGACGGGGCGTCGTCCCGCGACCTTACAGGGAACAGTGTCAACACCACGTGACCGGCGGGTCAACGTTGACGGCAGACCGAACACAGTCTGCAGCTGCAGCCTTTGAGTGCATGACAAATATGCCGCAATGGCTGAGTCGCCACCGCTGACGTCACGGGCCGTGCTACATTAAAGGCTCAAGTGTCTTCGACCACAACGAACTGAAATAAAAAATCGCGGACATGTAAAGTTTGGACTCACGCCAATTTATGGGAGGGGGAGGGCATCCCGTTAATGTTTTTTCCGAAATACTTTCCGAACCCCTCAATGGTTTCAGTTCTCGGTACCTTCCAGTGCATCCCTTTCCCAGCCCCATTGTCCACGTGGGACATCTGTCAAAGCTTTTCAACTTACATACACCAGACGAATGAAAGGATTTAGACAAGCGACAAGCAAACAATAACCACAGCACGGAAACCTGACAGACTGCCTATCGATTCGCACAGTGTAGCTTTGTTTGGCGGCCGTCAATGCCTGCACAGCATTTGCGCAGCGTCCGGCAGAGTCCTGAGGAGTGCGGTACGCCGCTGCAGCTCCGTTTCTCCGGGCAGCATACCGCGGCGACTGTTCACCCGGCGTGCATCGAGGCATTCTGTTCACGCCGTGGTATCTCGATGCAGCGAGCCGATGCCCAAATTCCACAGAGATTGTACTGGTGTCCCACGAAAGCTTAACGGTTAAAAGGATCCACCATGATCACTAAAATATCAGGTAGTCTGAATGGGTTACATAGCGTAGAAGGCATTGCTAAGCAAAAGTCGCTACATATACACTTAACCCTCGCCTTGACTCGCCGTGTCTCATAACGCGGATTGATAGGGGCGGTGGGGGGGGGGGGGGGGGGGGTTCAATGCGACCCCCCTAACATTTCCAAACTAATGAACATAAAACTTAGCGTAAAACACAAGTGAATTCCTCTTAACCAGATCTCGAGAATGACAATAGTCTTTATGTTGTTGGGTCCGTAATTGACCCCATGACTCCAGGACAAAATTCAAATTTTCGTGAAAACTGCGTTTTTCAGCTTTCCCCCACACATATGAGACGACACCTCACGGCGACACAAGCCTAAACCGCCTCGTCACTTGTTCAACATGGAGTCCTATATGGCTCCATTCATGTAAAAATGTCTGCCCGTTCAGCGGCACTGTCTATTGGCGCCAGTCACCCGCGACGGGCTATCGCCATGAGATGCTCCCCAAAAACCGTCGCTGCTCAGAAACCAGAAAACACTAGCACAGTTTTGGGTCAAAACATGCGCAGTGGATGTCCCATAGGGTGATACCTAAAATGCGCGACTGCACGACGTTCCGGAGAGGTGTCCTCAAATAACCTGAGGAAGTTGGTCGCATTGACCTCTCCTTTATTAGGACGACAGTTAACTCCCAATTAAAGGACGGCCGACCTGATTCCCCCCCAGTTTTTCCCCGGTTTTGCTTCCATCTTGCTTTTTCGCTCAGTGTTTCTGTTCGACATGGCTGTGGAGGATCTGCGTACTGAATAATGCTTCGAAAACGAGATGCAGTGGGGACCCGTCCGTGACTGCGCATCGTCCTCCCTTGCTAGGGACTGTGACAACATATGTTGTGTTATAGCACGACGCAAAGCGCGATCGGCACAACAGGGCAGTGGTTCGGATTTATTCGAAATGACAAGCTCCTTTTATGAATCTAAATATTCTTCTCGTGCTCGGAGAGCTGGGCTAGAAACGTCTCTGTTTAGCCCAAACCAAGTAATTCAACAGTGAGAAGCTCCACGATATGTATATACGTATAGCTTTGTCTTGCATTATAAGCATCATTAGCTGGTAAGACTCATCTGCTTCTGTCATATATTTAAAACTTCCAAAGGCCAGCTGCACCTCTTCCAGCCAACCCACAGAAAACAGCCCTTGTTATCAGCAAAAAATAACATTTTTGTCTATACACGCCCTGACGTTCATATTGAGTCGTTACATCACATATCAAATTGGTTTGCAATGTGAACGGTACCACGAAATCACGCCATCATCTGAACCGCTAACTTACACGTATAGGCGAGTTTCGGCACGGTCTTTTTGGTTGCACACATAGAGTGCCTGGCTTTCGGCCTCCTTTGCGGAGGTGATGTCTGGCGCTGGGACCAAGCTGGCCAATGCCAGCCCTGTCCTTTGAAGTGCCGTTCACGCAGCCACATACAATAGGCACGAGATATGAGTCGTCTTCTTGCGAGAGAGTTGTAGCGACCAACTTGGTGAAGTGAGCCCCAAAATGTCGTGGCTGTATGGCCGGAAAGGAATGAATGATAACGCCTAAAAAATGAGCCGCACGATATAGCGGAGGGAAGGGCGGATGCTAATTACCATGTCGAGAACCAGAGGTATGCTTTTTACCGCGGTGCCCGCCCTTCATGTCAGGGTGAAGGCAAACGATGTCATACCACTTCAGCAGTCAATTGCGTCGTAAAGTACCAATGACATGGCAATAAGCATGTGAGCAACCAGCATTTCCAGTGCTGAAATGGTCCGCATGACCGTTGGTCTAATGGTCCAAGGCACTTAGACCATCTAAATGGCCTAAAGCATGGTTCGCACCATTGTCGAACATAATGTCTACTGCTGTCTGTGGGAAAAATCAGCTCAAATTAGGGCCGGAAACCACTAAAAGGTACAAAAAAATCACAGTAGAACTGCTAACACCGGAAAAAGTGTGAACGAAACACGCGGACCGCGAAACCCGTGCGAAACATACCAAGTGCACGAACAAATGGACTTCAAACACCTGACAGAAGGTGTCGTGGCTGAGACAAGCCACCTCTCGAGACAGTTCATCCACGAAGTTATCGAGAAGTTCGGGAGCGGCGGCCGTCACAACCGTCAGACGTCCAGCCGAAGCCCAAACCTCCAGCATGACGAGGCGTCGAGCGCTCCTAAAACCGCAAGTAGCTCCCTTAACGTCACGCTGAATGGTCCATATCTAAATGACATCACAGTGGAGCCAAATATTTCGCCAAAGCTATCGGCGGGGAAGATGAAAGGGAGCTCATGTTCAGCGCAGACTGCTTGGAATGCTGGCCGGGCCATCCATCCGCTTGCAAGACAAGCCTCTCTCACATTTTACCAAAACGGCCGTGGACGCTGCAAAAAACCATCAGCTATTTCTGGGATAGAATGGGTTCGAGCCGGTCCGGACCTGCTCCGTTCTGTTCCGTTCTGTTATGTTATGCTCTGTTCAACTGTTCAAATGAGGGCCATCACGTGTCTGGATAGCAGTGTATGATGATGATGATTTGGGGATTTAGGGCGCAACGACTGCTAAAGGTCATGCAGCGCCCATAACTATCGATTCACGCAGAGCCGTCAATCAGAGAAGTGCATCAATCAGGTCACCCTATAGAGCCATGATGATCGGCCCTAGCATCATGATGAGAAGATTACAGGAAAATCTATAGCGCGAAGGAACTGGAGCACTTTACCAAACCCGACGATGTTCGAAGAATCCCCTAAAAAGTCGCATAGCGTGCGACTCTGGG